CATACATTGAGAGCTCAAATAAACTTATGATTATTCAGCAAAGTAAAATTCAACATAGAAACCAACCTGAATGTAAGGTAACACTTGAAGTGTTTATAAGTTAATCATTCTCCTCCTTTTTAATCAAAGGCTTTTCAGGGTATTTCTTGTAAGGAATTAGAGTATAGGTACAAAGATATTTGATTCATATATAGGTGCATATATACACACACACAATTTGCATGAACATAAACTCACACATATATCTGGCTCTTTTCATCCATTCAACACATTTATTAAGTTCCTGATGTGTACTCGGCACTGTTCCCAGCACTGGGGTTACAGTTCAGTACAAAACAAAGTTCTGCCCTTATGGGGTTTGCTTTCTAGTGAGGGAGAGGAAGAGTCAGACAATCAATAATAGATGAATGAACGAATGAGTAAATAAATAAATACAAATTAAGATATAATAGATGGCGTTAAGTATAACAGAGAGAACTAATGTTGGGACGAGGGATGGGGCATGGGCACAGAGGGGTGATGTTTCTATTTCAAACACTATCGTAAACGTAGACCTTTCCAATGGGGGACGTTACAGCAAAGAATTGAAAGGGGAAAAGGTGCTTCAGGCTGAGGGAGAACAAGAGCAAAGCAGAGGATAACCTGAGGAGTGATAACCTGATCACTGAGGGGGATACATGTCCTCACACACAATCGAACTGATATACAAAAGCATAAACTACCAAGTAAAGATGATCAGAATTCCACTACTTAAAGATAATCACTATTCACATGGTTGGGAACATCCTTGCAGGCATCAGTTGGGACATTTACACACACACACACACACACACACACACACACACACACAATGACACATATATTTTTACATAAATGTAACAAAAACTACACATGCCATTTTATAGCATACTTGTCTCATTCAGCAATCTGTTTGATGTTTCTGGCCATGACTACTGATACTTATACATGTTTTTCTACTGTTACTGATGCTGAGACACACTTATGTTTTGGGTGTGGTCACCTTATCTCCTTAGAATAAATTCCTAGAAGTGGAATTGCTAGATCAAAGGGTATACGCATGTAGCATTTTGACAAAAAATTTTCCAGCTGACAACCAAAAAGTTCATACCATTTTCATTTTCGTTTTCATTAACAGTGCTTGAGAAGTCAGAATACCTTTTTATATATTCATTAGCCCTTTGTATTCTCTTCAATCCCTATTCATCTTCATGTCTCTTGCCCTTTTAAAAAAATATATGGTTTGTCTTTTTCTTATTGTTTTACAAAATCTCTTTATATATTAGAGATGTTCTTTTTTCATCCTGCATGTTACAACTAATTTTCTCAGTTTGTCTTTTGCCTTCTAACCTGTTTAAGGTTAAAAAGTTAAAACCTTGTTTAAGGTTTATTCATTTGATTTTGCCATGTTTAAGTGATCGAATATATTTAACTTTATGGATTCTGGGCTTGGCATCTTAACATGTACCCCATGATTATAAAAATATTGCCAGCCAGTTGTCTCAACTTCAATTATTACATCTTTCACCCAGTACTTACAATATGCAGAAGCAGAGTTTATGTTTCTTTTTCTTTCTAAAAATTTTTAATGTTTTTTAAATTTATTTTTGAGACAGAGAGACAGAGCATGAGCAGGGGAGGGGCAGAGAGAGAGAGAGGGAGACACAGAATCCGAAGCAGGCTCCAGGCTCTGAGCTGTCAGCACAGAGCCCAACGTGGGGCTCGAACCCACAAACCGTGAGATCATCACCTGAGCCAAAGCGGCCCCAGAATTTATGTTTCTTAACATAAGACTCCTCCAAGAAATACTAGAAAAAAATATCTGGTCTAGAAATTAGGAAAAAGCAGTGCAGATCAAGGTGACCTTAGATATAGAAGTTGGGTTTTGTTTTGATTTAAGACAATGTATGAAGAAGGAATTTTTCCTTCATAGGAAGTTACCTTTAGTTTTACTCCCTCCTGGCTTTCAATAGGTACTTAATATCTGTCAGGCCCTGTTCCAAAGGCCTCATTTGTATGCTCATTTAATCCTCTCACAGTTCTCACGTTGGAAGGTAACTGGTGGCTGTCTGAATCTGGAAATTTCTTATTTATTCTGTAAGAGTAGGAACAACAAAAATGGTCATGATAAACAGTCGTTCTCTAGTTACATTGCTAACTCTATAAAAATATTCTTGACGTTTTTTTTTCTTTTAATATAAACTAGCTGTGTCTCCTATAACCGCTGCTCTGGCAATTATATATTTTTTGAAGTTTACTTATTTATTTTGAAAGAGTGCATGCAAGTGGGGGAGGGGGAGGGAGAACATGAGAGAGACTGAGAATCCCAAGCAAGCTCAGGTGCTGTCAGCACAGTGACTGACTTGGGGCTCAAACCTGACCCGAAACCAAGAACTGGATGCTTAATCAACTGAGCCACCTAGGCACCCCTGTTCTAGCAGAAATTTATACTTATTAATAAAATGTTTATTTACATACCTCTTAAAATGTTGATTTGAAATGCACCTAGCATCAGACTCTGCCACTATCTACCTTCTCTTATGGTGAGCTTTTACCATCACTCCCATTCTCTGAAAAATTTAGAACCTAGCCCGACATCAATGTCAGATGATTTCAGTAGTCAGGCAAATGACGCACACAAACCTTGGGGCCTCTCCCCCAATTTCTTGCTCACATTCTGGGATCTTTGCCTCAACCCCATGTCAGCCCTTCACTCCAGGCCCATCCCCTAGAGCTGCCCTTACCTTTACTTCATGCCTTCAGAACCAGAATTTCAGACTTAGCATTTTCTAACTCTCACGTCCTGTCTCCCAGCACACTCCCACTGGTTTCCTCTCCCTGACAAGTTCCTGATGCCATCGGACGTCCATGCTATTGACCTCACCACCTTTTCACCCTTCATCGATAGCCTACACCTGATTTCATTAACACAGGCCCTCCATTATAATCACTGCTTGCAGATGAACTCAATTCCCTCTCCTCCCTCTCTTTCCATTTACTTGCTTGGAAAAAAACCCCAAAACCAAAAAACAACTACCCTTGATGAAGTTCAATTTTCTGCCTACTTTACATCTTGACCCATCCAGCTGGAACCAATGTCTTCTACAGTTCATGACCATTTTCTTCCGGTGGGGTGCCCAGTAATGTCTTTGAAGGGACTCTCACATCTTTCTCCTCACATCTCAGACACTCCCTCTTCTGTCCCAACTCTTAGCTAATATCCTTTCTCACCATTTCATTGAGAAAATAGGCACAATAAGAAGATGCACACTGTCCCAATACCACGCCTATCAACCTACCTGCATTTCTATCTTTATAACCTGGCTAATGGTTCTGCTTCTAATTAAGGACAACCTTCTATCCCCTCAGGCTTCCTCAAGGATATCATTCCTGCCGGTGTCCTTTCTCTTTTCTGTATATTGACTTTATCTCCACATTGGATCATTCTCATCAGCATTACCTGCTGTCGAAAGAAAGAAAGAAAGAAAGAAAGAAAGAAAGAAAGAAAGAAAGAAAGAAAGAAAGAAAGAAAGAAAGAAGAAAGAAAGAAGAAAGAAAAGAAAGAAAGAAGAAAGAAAGAAAGAAAGGAAGAAAGAAAGAAAGAAAAAGAAGAAGAAGAAGAAAGAAAGAAAGAAAGAAAGAAAGAAAGAAAGAAAGAAAGAAAGAAGGAAGGAAGGAAAGAAAGAGAGAGAGAAAGAAAGAAAGAAAGAAAGAAAGAAAGAAAGAAAAGAAAGAAAGAAAGAAGAAAGAAAGAAAAAGGAAAGAAAGAAAAACTCTTACTTGACTCTAAAAGAATTGGCTATATTCTCTGTCCTTCTCTTTTAAAGTTGGACATGAAGGGCATCTGGGTAGCTCAGTCGGTTAAGCGTCCAACTCTAGGTTTTGGTTCAGGTCTTGGTCTCATGGTCTTGTGAGTTCAAGCCCCATGTCGAGCTCCGCGCTGATAATGCTGCTGACAGTGCAGAACCTGCTTGGTATTCTCCATCTCCCTCTCTCTCTGCCCCTCCCCCAGGTGTGCTGTCTCTGTCTCTCTCAAAAGTAAAAAAACTTAAAAAAAATTTTTTTTCAGTTGGATGTGAAATATTTAATATGTGTAAAACCATGTGTGATTAAGACATTTCAAAATAAACTCAATGTACCAAGAATTTGTCCCTGTGATGAGTTAATGATTAATATAAAAAAGACAATATATAAGAAATGCCCACCTTTTAATTCATAACACATTTTTTTATCAAATGGAATAAGAAGTTTATTTAATGTGCAAATGTTCTCAACTTTAAACCATCTACCACACTGGTGAATTAAACTGGCCCCACCAATATATATGCCATTGCTCAGCTGTAATCTTTTATATGCATTCCAATCTTTGTGTTTTGGCTTTTGTTGTTTTTCTTATTTTTTGCTTCTTGTGTAACCTTTACCAGCAGTTCTCAGAATTGGTGTTTCAACCATGTAAAATAAAACGTTTCCGTCGTGGTGACACGTAGTTTGTTTAGCATGTTTAACTTACTCTTCAATACTTTGAATTACTGTTCTTGCACTTCGAACTCCTATTTTCCCCTTGTTATTCTATTCAGATTGTTTATAGCTTGCTCATTTTTCACATCTGGTACTTGTCTCTTTGTTTAGATATCTTTTCAGTGCTCTCTGGTCTCATTGTGAACATTGGTTTCAGTCTAGTGGTCACTTTGTCCTCTCTACTAATGTTGAAATACTAGTTATTCAGAGGTTTTTCAGAATTCTCATGTCAGACCCACCTTTCCCCTCACTTCTTAATGCTTTAACCTTGACTAAGTAAATAGATGCTCAAGGGGTGCCTGGGTGGCTCAGTCAGTTAAGTCTCTGATTCTTGATTTCAGTTCATGTCATCATCTCATGGTTCGTGGGTTCAAGCCCCACAACAGGCTCAGCGCTGACAGTGTAGAGCCTGCTTAGATTTCTCTCTCCCTCTCTTTCTGCCCTTCCCCTGTTTGTGCCCTTTCTCTCTCTCTAAAAAAAAACAAAAAACTTTAAATAGATGCTCAGGAATTCAGACGAAACATCTATGAATGCCAAGGTAGTTAATTTATGCCATGAGTGTATTTGCCACCTTTTCGATGTTCATTAGCTCCTTCGTGTCCTCGCTTCCTTTCTAACCGTTTAAATACCAAAGTCTTTGCATACAAACCGCTTGTCACCAGTTAGTGTCAAAATTTATAAATTAATATAGACAGTGTTTATGTAACCAGGGGAACGATCTGCAAACCATGCTGAGAAACCTGAGGCAACGTAAATAAATATTATACATGTACAAGTTAGAGTGGAAGAGAACTTTGGGAAGTCATCCGGTCCGTGTCTTTTCCTCTTGGTGAGAAGACTATCTTTGCTGTATTGTACCTCCTCCATGATTTCTTTCTCTACGTCTGATTCATGTCTTTTCAGTCCAGGAAGACACAAGTTAGCCTAGGAGAATGAAAATTGGAAGGAGGAAGTTGAAAACTGAGAAAAGCACTAGGTTATTTGAGTGAACTTGCACGAATGAGTCAGTGTACTAATGAATGTCTAGACCCAGCCCTTGAGTGATGATCATGGGTACAAATCTTAATTTTAATGTCAAGCCTTTTCTATACATAAAACTTCACCTAACTGAAATCAGGATCAAACTCAACAGTTACATCTTCCTTAATAGCAGCATTGTGAGAGGTTTTGCAAAGAAGGCAAAAATTATTGACAACATTCAGTGTTGAAACATTTAGTGGGAAAACAGGTTCTGATTACTTATTATCCAAACAGGGCAAGAGGCGAGACTGTACATTTTTGGCAGTAAGTCAAAATAAATCAAAATCTGGGCAAACTAATCTAACAATGGAAAAGAGTTTTGTGTGTAAGGAAAGGACCAAAAAGTGACTGCACAGAGTAGTTGGAAGAATCTAAACACGTTTTAATTTTTATTCGTTTTCAATTATTTCTTTAATTTAAAAAATTTACATAATAAAAAAATTCCAAAGATCTCAAAGACACATTAGTATCTTATAGTACTCAATTTCCTTCTCTAGAGGCAAACACCATTACTAGCTTCTTTTTACCCTTCCAAGGGTATAAACATATATTTGGATGCACGTTTAGTAGGTTTTTATATATGTAGTCTTATATTTATTTATTTTGGATTTGCTCATATCACCCAGCCTTTGAATTATGAAATTTCGTGTTCTCAGAAAGGACAAAAATAATCTATAATTTTGTGTTGACAAGGGTTCAATTGGAATTTTCTGTTAAAATTTGGATAGCAGTAAGTTTGTAAATAATTTTTTTAACTGTTTTTATTTTGAGAGAAAGAGACGGTGTGTGAGCATGAGCAGGGGAGGGGCAGAGAGAGGAAGAGAATCCCAAGCAGGGTCCTTGCTCAGACCATCGAGCTGGACGTAGGGCTGTATCTCATGAACCGTGAGATACCTGAGTATCTCAGTAACCTGAGTCGAAATTGAGAGTCGGACGCTTAATCAACTGCACCACCCAGGTGCCCCATTAAAGTTTATTTATTTATTTATTTTGAGAGAGACAGAGAGAGTGCGAGTGGGGGAGGGGCAGAGAAAGAAAGAGAATCCCAAGCAGGCTCTGGGCTACCAGCGCAGAGTCTGACGCAGGACTCAAACTCACAAAACCATGAAATCATGACCTGAAATGGTGAGCCAAAATCAAGAGTTGGATGCTTAAGCGAATGAGCCACCAATGTGCCCTGTACATAATTTTTATTAGGCAGAATATATAGGTGAAAATAATCACCTATAGCTCTACCACTTAGAAATAAGTACTATAAATACAATATTTTTGTTTATTGACTAGGCATATACAGACATACCCAAATAGTTTGTGAAATTGGAATCATACCACCTATACCATTATGGAATCCCTTCTCCCTGGGAAATATATTTACATGTTATATTTTTAACCACAGATAACAAATATTAATTTAAATGGACAACATTATTCTTTTATTTATTGGGGGACCATAAATTTGAGGAGAACAATGTCAATGCTCTCTCTGAATGCAGAGCCCCCACTTGGAAAATGGTGCCCCCCAGTATTATCCTGCAGGTCTAGGTGAGCAGTGGGTTGTTCAGTGTCATGATGGCAGGGACTATCTTACATCTAGCAATTGTCTTGTATGACATATGTGACATTTAGCACACTGTTTTGACATACTATCATACCTCTCTCTCAGGGTCTGAAGAGGATAAGGCAGGTCCTAAAATAGGGAAAGATAAAAGACAGTGAATTAGAAAGGACAAATCCCCAACTTGCCTTTTTTTTTTCCCAAAGAGGCAGGGAAAGGAGAGGATCCCAAGGCCCATGGCATTCATCTTCCTGCTCTGCTTCCCACCCCAGTGAGGTTGCTGTAGTTTAAACTATGATGTCAGCCCTGATTCAGAAACTTATGCAGGAGGGGGGCTTGCCAAGTTCCCAGAGCCCAATGTAGATCAAAACATCTCAGAAAGGAGACTGGAGGAGGGGGCATAAATGCATTATAATCATGAAATACTGTTCAAATATTGTGTTATCATAAAAACCTATATACAACAAAAAGATGGCCATGGCCCAATTTGTGTTGTATGAATTTAAGCTATAGTCACTACATTTTAGTTTGGTAAATGATTTTTATATCCCTTTGGCGTTTGCTGTGTTTTTAATGATCCCCACCTCACCAGAGTGAGCCCATATATTGCTGTTCTATATAAAGGGGATTGTAGCTTCAGCACATGTTCTGGAAATCATTCAGGCTTCCTTCCATTTCCTGCTCTCTCTTCTTTGAGGTTTCTAGTTGGACATTCCTGGTGTCTGTCTTGACAGCTCAAAGCTGGCTTCTACCCCAGCAGTTTCTAGCCTCTGGCTGCCTCGCTATGTGAACAGTGCTCCTGTTGAATTACAAAGCACCCAGATGCTGTGCAGCAGTTCCGGAGGACTGCCTGCTTGGCTCTCAGTTGTAGTTTTGCTCCCCGGATTCACTCTCGGAGATTATACTCAATTCTGTCTGAACCCCCTCCACATCCTCCCCACCCCAACCCAGCTCCAAACAGAGGAAACCAAACTTCCCACTTCCCCAAGAGAAGAATTCAAGCAATGTAATGAAATTTTGCTACTCTCCCTGAACAAAGGACAGAATTACAGTGAACTACAGTTAGTTCACTGGAGCACAAGATAAAAGAACCAAGACAGAAATATTTTATCTAGTAACTATTAAAATACACTCAGCTTTCCATAAATAGAGAGATGATAGAGATGATAGTTAATTAGAGCTTCTTAAAGCTATTTCCTAAAACTTTGGCTGCATAACAAATAGAGGAAACCATAGGTGAGCAAATCTATTTTGTCATGAATTTTCAAGTGTCCTAGAAGGACTCTTGCCAAATCGTCTTCTCTAGCCGTCACCTTCACTAAATGACTTGTACTGTTGCCAGAAGTCATGGTCATTCATTGTTGCTTAATAGGCAACCATGCAATCTTTTTCCCTCTTACTTTTTCTCTATCACCCAGCTACTTTTTTTTTTTTTTACCTAACTTTTTAGAGCAATTTTAGGTTCATAGCAGAGTTGAGAGAGAAGGTACAGAGATTTCCCATATAATCCCTAGCCCTACATATGCATAACTTCCCCCATTATCAACATCCCCCATGAGAGTGTCCCATTTGTTACAGCTGATGAACCTACACTGATACATCATTATCACCCACAGTCCATAGTTTATGGTTCATTGTTGGTATTGTCTATGGGTTTTGACAGATATATGGTGACGTATATCCATCATTATGGTATCATGAAGAGTATTTTTACTGCTCTAAAAATCCTCTGTGTTTTACCTGTTCATCCATCCTCAGTCCCAGTCAATGGCAGTCACTGATCTTTTTACCATCTCCATGGTTTTGCCTTTTCCAGAATGTCATAAAGTTGAAATCATACAGTATGTCCAGGTATACCTCATTTTATTATGCTTTCCTTTATTGTACTTTACAGATCATGCTGTTGTTTTTTTTTATAAGTTGAAGGTTTGTGGCAACCCTGGGTCAGGCAAGTCTATGGATGTTATTTTTCTATCAGCATTTGCTCACTTCATGTCTCTATATCACATTTTGGTAATTCTTGCAATATTTCAAATTTTTTTCATTATTATTGTTTTTGTTATGGTTATCTGTGATCAGTGATTATGACTCACTGCAAGCTCAGATTATGTTTAGCATTCTATTAGCAATAAGGTATTTTTAAGCTAAGGTATGTTCATTGTTTTGTAGACATAATTGTATTGCATACTTAATACACTGTAGTATAGTGTAAACCATAACTTTTATATGCACTGGGGAATCAGAAAATCCATTTGACTCATTTTATTGTGATATTCACTTTGTTGTGGTAATCTGGAAAGAACCAAACCTGGAACATTTCTGAGATATTCTTGTATACTTTTCAGGCTTCTTTCACTTAGTCACGTTCATTTTAGTTAGCTTCATGTCTTTTCATGGCTTAATAGCTCATTTTGTTTTAGGGATGAATATTATTCTATTGTCTGGATGTACCACAGTTTACTTACACTTAGTAATATTCATTTTAGTTTCCTTCACATCTTTTCATGGCTTAATAGCTCATCTCTTTTCAAGGCTGAATATTATTCCATTGCCTGGATTTATGCATTCACCTACTGAAGGACATCTTGGTTGCTTCCAAGCTTAGGCAATTATGAGTAAAGCTTCTATAAACATCCATGTACTGAATTTTGTGTGGACATAAGTTCATTTGGGCAAAAGCGAAAGGGTACAACTGTTGGATTGTATGGTAAGAATATATTTAGTTTCATAAAAAGCTATCAAGCTGTCTTCTGAAATGGCTGTATTATTTTGCATTCCCCCAGCAGTAAGAGTTCCTGTTGCTTCACATCCTCTGCAGCCTTTGGTGTTGTGAGTGTTCAGATATTGGCCATTCAAATAGATGTGTAGTGGTATCTCATGGTTGTTTTGGTTTGCATTTTTCTCATGACTTATGATGTGGAATCTTTTCATATACTTATTTGCCATGTGCATATCTTCTTTGTTGAGATGTCCATTAAGGTCTTTGGCTTATTTTTAAATCGTGTTGTTTGTTTTCTTATTGTTGAATTTTGAGAGTTCTTTGCATATTTTGAATAATAGTCCTTTATTAGATATGTCTTTTGCAAATAATTTCCCTCACTCTGTGCTTTGTCTTCTCATTCTCTTGATCCTGTCTTTCACAGAGAAGTTTTTAATCTTAATAAAGCCCAACTTATCAATTATTTCTTTCATGGATCATGCCTTTGGTGTTGTACTTAAAAAGTCGTCACTGTGCCCAAAGTCATCTAGGTTTTCTCCTATTTTATCCTCTAGGCATTTTTAATTTTGCATTTTACATTTAGGTCTGTGATCTGTTTTGAAATTTTGTGAAGGATATAAGGTCTGTGGG